AGTCTGTGTTAAACTTACTTCCTCACGTACAGCTCTTTATGTTGGGTTTAGATTCCTGATAAACTTGAACATAATGTGTGTCTTTTTTTTCTTCTAGTTATCCACTTAATGATGCTGCGGAAACAGTGAATGAGATTGGTGCATCAATCAGCAGAGCCATGGGGGGCACAAGTGGAATTTTGTAAACTCATGAATTTATTTGAACATTCTTCCATATATTGTCCGGGTCATGCTTTTGGCTTTCACTGATAAAGACTGTTACGCTTTTTCTTATGAAAACAGATACAATCTCCTCTGCAAGGCAGCGTATGCGGAGCTAAAAGCTAACACTGAGTCAGAAGTCACTGCCAAATACTGTGAGATAATGCTTATTTAATGTGGTTAGTATTGCAATGGTGTCACATGCATGTTTTAACTCAGGCTTCTCGTGAATCATCAGGGTCTAAAGCACTCAAGGCGTCAATTGCTTCTGTCAGCAAATATGGTGGAGCAACTGCGGGATACAGGACGATGCTAGATGCGCTCATCCCAGCTTCACAAGTTCTTGAAGAGGTGACAACTTGTTTTTTTCCCCATAATTGAGATGTTGCAAGTACTAATATGATTTTTGTTGTGATAAGAACAGAAGCTGAGTGCTGGGGTGGACCCAATAACTGCTTTTATTGTGTCAGCTGAAGCAGCAACTAAAGGAGCGGAATCAACCATAAAGATGCAAGCACAGGTGAACCATTTCGGTCTGCTTTTGCTATACTGTATACTTATTTAATTTTGATCTGACTGGATTCAGTTATGAAACACAGGCTGGGAGATCGAGCTATGTGTCTGCAGAGAATCTTGCAACAGTTCCAGATCCGGGTGCAATGGCTGCAGCAGGATGGTACAGCGCGGCAGCAAGAGCCGTGAAGGAGCAATATCAGGGCTCGACATGATCCTCCTTCTTTTGTTTCCCGGGATTATATGAAATGGGGTTTGGTGAGAGATGCTCCTTTATCGCAAACTATTGGCTATCGTGTATGTGTATGTTTAAGCTTTTTAAGACTCTGTGAGGGGCTCTCCGTTTATGCAATTTTTTTGGGAGGTGCGTAATACTGTGAGAGTTTATAAGCTTCCGGAGAGAAAAATACTATTGGTACTTTTGGATTCTTGAACGACTCTGAAAAATGCTTCTTCACCTTTATATGATAAGCATCGTACTTATACTTTCGAAATTTTATAATTTACTTGCTAGTATGTAATTTTATTAGCTGTTACTATCCACATGAAGAATCCTGCGGAGGTATCTTTATTAGGATATGACCGTGTATCCCGTAAATAAATAGTTCTAGGCAACAGTTTGTGTATATCTTCTTAGGCTCACGTTTATCTCTCAGGGCAACATATCTGATGTGTATATATATACTTTGATTCTTAACTACCAACCTGTGAGTTCGACTCTTACAAACTTGAAGCTTTATAAGGAAGGAGTAGCAACTAGCAAGTGCAGCTGCTCTTTTGTTCCGAATCTTGCTCACAAGGCTCTGTGTAGGCTATCCATAAGATCAATTGTATTACCCCAGTTCGTGTTTATTATTGTGATGATCTTGTTCTCGCTGACGAAATAGTTTGTGTTGAATGAATGAATATAAGTGGTGTACAAAACCTAATTCAAAGGGAAAAGAGAGTCAAAGGGGATTAGAAAAGAGAGGAGTTAGTTACATGAATGTCTTAATTTAGTGATAGAGATTTTTGCTTTCTTTATATCTGTCAAGCAAAACTTCTGACATCTATCTTCCTCTTCTGTTTAAACATTTTAGCCCAAGTTTAAAAGAAACAATGGTACTCGCCACAAACTCTGACTCCGAAGAGCATTTGCATTCCACTTTTGCTTCCAGATATGTCCGTGCTGTTGTTCCCAGGTCTCTTCTCTCTCCGTGTGTCCTTTTTCTCGAATGTTTCCTCACTTTTAGTGTTTTTTTCGTTTTTTTTATGTTGTGACTTATGATGCATATAATTATGTATTTATTTTGTTTGTATATATATCTTGAAACAGGTTCAAGATGCCTGACAATTGCATGCCCAAAGACGCTGCTTATCAAGTGATCAGTGATGAGTTGATGCTTGATGGCAATCCCAGGCTTAACTTAGCTTCTTTTGTCACCACTTGGATGGAACCTGAGTGTGACAAACTAATCCAAGAGTCTGTCAACAAGAACTATGTTGACATGGATGAATATCCTGTCACTACCGAGCTCCAGGTTCCTCTCTCTCTCTCCATCTCTCCCCATCTGTTTTCCACTCTAAATATCTCTTCAACACTGTTTTTGAATAATTGTAAATACATCTTTGTCTCTCCTCTTCAGAACCGGTGTGTAAACATGATAGCCAATTTGTTCCATGCTCCCGTTGGAGAAGATGAAGCTGCTATTGGATGTGGAACAGTTGGTTCATCAGAGGCTATAATGCTTGCTGGTTTAGCTTTCAAAAGAAAATGGCAACAGAGGAGAAGAGCTCAAGGTCTACCTACTGATAATCCCAACATTGTTACTGGAGCCAATGTTCAGGTCTCTAAATATAAACTTTACTTCTCATCCTCCAACCATCACATTTGCTTTAAACATTGACTAGATTTTGACCCGCGCAACCGCGCGTGTGTTTGTATTCGTTTATAGTTAGTTATATAAACATTTTGTTTTCACTTGTAAATTGGTATATATTAAGTAATTCACATATTTACGATATGTATAGTAAATGTTTTTCAAAAATAATAATATTATATAATAAGTGTTTTAATCAAATAGATTGTTTCAAATTTTTCGAACATGTGTTTGTTTCTTCTTCTAGATTTTGACCCGCGCAACCGCGCGGATATTTGTATTCGTTTATAGTTAATTATATAAACATTTTTTTTTCACTTGTAAATTGGTATATATTATAGTAATCACATATTTATGATATATATAGTAAATTTTTTTCAAACATAATAATATTATATAATACGTGTTTTAATCAGATAGATTGTTTCAAATTTTCTATATTATACATGTTTTCCAAACATGTGTTTGTTTCTTCTTCTATATTTTATTGTTTATTAGATTAGTATTTCATTTTTAGATAAAGTAATATAAATAGAGCTTGATTAAATATTAGTATATTTTAATTTGCAAAGATAATATAAACTTCGAAGAAATTTTTGCTAAAAACTAAACTTATAGCTTCATAAATTAATAATATAAAGATTTTTATTAAAAAGGATTTTTTAAACAATTTCTTTTTTTTAAACAATATAAATTTAAAAATTTACATCGAATTTAATTTATCTAGTATATATAGCGTGTAAATTTTGTTAGGGTATATAAATATTCCATATAAAGAATCTGTGATTTTTGTTAATATATTGTGGATGCATTTAACTATTATTGACATATTTCCTTATAAATAATAGAAGATTCCTAAACTTATATCTATTGACATATTTTGCGTGACTAAGTTGGAATGTGTGGGGTAATTTACCAAAACCAAATTGTTAAGCGTATCTTTGTTATTATAGATATGATTTTTCATAAGATATAATAATGATAAGATTATTAGAGAGTTAATGTAACATAACTTTCTAGTAATAGTCCATTTTTATAAAAAATCACACATGAAGTCAAGTCATGACTTCTGTTTTAATATATAAGATTTGTGTATCATCCGGGGGCAGGTGTGCTGGGAGAAATTTGCAAGGTACTTTGAGGTAGAGCTCAAAGAGGTGAAACTAAGTGAAGGCTATTACGTGATGGACCCAGCTAAAGCTGTAGAGATGGTGGATGAGAACACAATCTGCGTTGCAGCTATTCTAGGATCCACACTTACCGGAGAGTTTGAGGATGTGAAGACACTGAACGATCTCTTAGCTGAGAAAAATGCAGAGACTGGTTGGGATACTTCTATTCACGTTGATGCAGCAAGTGGAGGATTCATTGCTCCTTTCCTCTACCCTGATCTTGAATGGGACTTTAGGCTTCCATGGGTTAAGAGCATTAACGTCAGTGGTCATAAGTATGGACTTGTCTATGCAGGAGTTGGTTGGATTATCTGGAGAACCAAAGAAGATTTGCCAGAGGACCTGGTCTTTCACATCAACTACTTGGGAGCTGATCAACCTACTTTCACCCTTAACTTCTCTAAAGGTTTGTTTGTATAACAACTATCTTATCCAATCAACTCACCATGACTCTTTATACAAACAAAACTCTTTGTGTTTTTTTTTGCAGGGTCCAGCCAAATCATTGCTCAGTACTATCAGTTTATCAGACTAGGCTTTGAGGTACTTGTTCCTTTTATATTTAACTTACTGTTTCGTCTTGGTAACATTTAAGGAACTGTTTAATGATCTTTATCGATAAAGGGATACAAGAACATAATGGAGAATTGCATGGACAACGCGAGGAGGCTAAGAGAAGGAATAGAGATGACAGGGAAGTTTGACATTGTCTCTAAAGATATAGGTGTGCCTCTAGTGGCATTCTCTCTCAAAGACAGTAGCAAACACACCGTGTTCGAGATCGCAGAGTCTCTTAGGAAATTCGGGTGGATCATACCGGCTTACACCATGCCTGCAGATGCACAGCACGTTGCTGTGCTCAGAGTTGTGATCAGGGAAGATTTTAGCCGAGGGCTTGCAGACAGACTCATCACACATATCATTCAGGTACTGAAAGAGATCGATGGCCTTCCTAGCAGGGTTGCTCATCTAGCTGCGGCTGCTGCGGTTAGTGGTGGTGAGGTGAAGACTGCTAAGATGTCGTTGGAGGATATCACTAAGTATTGGAAACGCCTTGTGGAACACAAGAGAAATATTGTCTGTTAACTTGTCAAGTGGTCAAGTCTTCACACTTGTTCTACTTTTGGATCAGTTATGGTCTTGGTAATAAGGTTTTTGTTTTAGACCATTCTGCTGAACTTTTTGTTTTTTCTTTCTTGGTATTATATCTATATTGATGGTAATATAAACCAGAAGAGTGATTTTTCAGTAGTATGTTTGAGACTTGATCAATAGGTTGTACATTTGTTCACTCTGGTTAACCAGTGAAAAATCAAATTCAAAGAGACTATATTGCACAAACTACCAGTACAACAAAATGAGGAAATAGTCATACATCATATTAATATACAACAATGTCTGAAAGATTTTGCCTCTCAGAAGAGTTTCAACAAGAACAAAGGGGGGAAAAAACAAACCGTTCATCTTCTTCCTTGCCTCGCTCTCATCCATTCTGGACTTTTGGCCATGAAGCTGTCTAACAACCACACAATCATGGAGATATGGGTTCGTAGGGATGAGTCAACCATGGATGTTTAAGAGCCTCAGATGCAGAAGGGCGTTTCTTTGGATCAACTTGGAGCAAATGTGCCACAAAGTCTATGAAGCCTTGGTCACCCATTGGCAGTCTACGCCTTAGCGATGACTTTTTAGGTATCAGGTATTCCAAATTGTTACTCTCCTAAAATGTATTTGGAAAACAAACTCATTACAACGTTTCTAAATTCAATACAACTATAAAAATAATTGGCTCAGGCAGGAAGGTGCACTATAGTAATTTTAATACGCACCTGGTTCCTCTCGTATAACAAATGATTTTTGGTGAAGTACTTGCATGTATCAGGTCCTTTTGCAAGCATTTGTTGGTCAATGGATCCGATTATACCGATGACCCTTGCAAGCAAAGTAGCCGGAGAATCATTTTGAAAAAGAACCTGCATAACAAATGGTTCTAGCTAGCTTAGTATTATTGTAAAAATGGTTTTGACAGGTTTCATCGATGATAGAACTTACGTTTCCGGAACACAGTTCTGCCAAAATGCAGCCAAGTGACCAAATGTCGATCTTTTTATCATATGGAAGCCCAAGGATGACTTCTGGAGCACGGTAGGACCTAGACTGGACATAAGAGCAAAGATGATCCGTTTCAAAACAGCTACTTCCTAGATCAATAACTTTGATTTCGCATCTGCTGTAGCTTTTGATAAGTATGTTTTCAGGTTTTAAGTCGCAGTGTATAAGTCCTAGACCGTGCAGAAAGTTCAATGCTTCCAAGCATTGGATGGTAATTGACTGCACAAGATTTTGATTCAGAAGAAAATGAGAGACCAGAAAAAAAAAACATACATAAACCTTGAGAGTGGTGAGGGCTTTTGGCTAACCTGTAATCTTGGCATTGTGAAATAAACTTCTCCACCTGATTCTCTATTAAACTTTTGGAACTCATACAAGTTTGCCTTGAGAAGTTCACATACTATTAACAAGTGCTCCTGCAAAATAGAGATGTAAATTAGCACCAAATCAGCAACTGATTCTAGAAACATCATTATTAAGATGATTGAAAGTACTAAAGACATAACCCTCCACTTACCCGAAAGTAGAAGTAGTCATACAGTCTAAGGAGATGGTACTTGTCAGCTGGATCATGCTGATTGACATACTTGAGAAGTTTGATCTCATCAAGGCTCTGGTCAAAAAAGTCTTTGTTGTTCTTTATGATCTTTACACAGACATCAATGCCTGTGTGGAGGTCATGTGCTTGTATTGCTTTGCTAAAAGCTGCTGATCCAAGATGCTCAGTGACATGATAACGACCAGCTATGACAGAATTCAAAACCACATGGAAGTTCTTATCCTCCTCAAAACCAGTCCTGGCCAAGAAAAGAAGAAGCAAATAAATATTCTGCACGTTCATAAGAACTGAGATATACACAAACAACCAAAGATCAATGTAAGAGAAAATACCTGTTTTTCCTGTGAACAATCTTCAGGTTGAAGGTCTCAAAATCCTGCTCTTGGGCTTTAATCTGTCTTACTTGCTCTTGGACAACGATTGCATCTTCATCCTCAAACGAGGTCCCAGGATCTTCTTCCTGCCCTGGACTAGTTTCTTCCTCATCTTCTTCCTTGCAATGCTCTCTCCCTGTATACGAACTCTGGGAGAGTGCAGATGGGGAAGAATTTCTTGAACTTGCAACCTTCTCGCCATCCCTATCATTTCTCACAGCAGGGTTTGACCATACAGGGTTTGTAGAGTCATCATGAGAGATTTGTCCATCAGGTACTGGAGAAGGAAAGGAGAACCCACCATTTGTAAAACTTTTTAGCTGCATACTTGTTGCACCTTTACCAGGTGGAGGCTTGACACCAGCAGCTCCAACTTGGCGATGAGGAAGGAGCTCCAGGTCCCAATCACTACCTTCTCCAGGAAAAAAATCAGGTACTATACTCCCATTGTCATCAACATCATCACTGATTCCTACACCAATTGACCTAACTGCAGCATTTCTATCATCTTCTGCACGGATATCCTTTGAACAGAATCTACCACCGTTATCCTCGCCTCTCCCTTGGTTCAACAAGACTACATCATTTTCATGTGTGACAAGTCCCTGCCATACAGGTTCAGCTCGCATCAAATTCAGCTCCGTTGCATCCATCAATTCCCCGTCATACCGAGCAACTAAATCAGGTCCCTTGGTCCTGCTGTATGTTTCAGTCACTGAAAGACCCATCGGATCATCTAAAGCTGTAACTGGCTCAACGCCTTTTGATAGCACGTATTGTTCACCGGAGAAATAAGAATCCTCCTCAGCAAATGAACGTTCATCATCATTCTTGGTTTGACTTTTATCCTGAGTATCAGGAACACTTTCATGCTCTGTGCCTTTTTCATGTTCGCTAGGATAGTCAACTTCATGACCCAAAAACCAGGCCTCATCCTCAATTGGTTGCCTAATGTAACCAACATCGTCATCGTCGTCATATTCATCAGAGTCCCAATACTCATTTGAGTGTCCAGTGAGATCACCTAATCCATTGCCAAATCCAAATATCAAGTCAGATGCATCTTCTGCTAGTCCCTGACTTACAGACAACCAGTTTCCTCCACCACCTATTCTGCCACCTATGACACCATAAGAATGAGAATTAAACTTGGACTCCATCTTCTAGAGACATGAAGTAAAGTAAGATACACATAACTAGAAGGAAAGGAAAAGGTGTACACAAGAACATTTAAGTTTTGTATGGTAACCATCACAATGTCAACTAACCTGATGAATGGATTTCTTGTCCAATAGGAACATCTAGATAAGAGCCTATAAGGAAACCATTCTCAGTATTGATCAGCTTCTCGTCCAACACATCTCGCTCATGTTTATCATCTGAAGTATAGTTCATTGATTTATCCTCTGACTTGATTTTTACATGCGGCAGCCTTGGTAAGTCTTCCCTCGTACCATCATGGGACATCGAAAACGCAAAGCCGCTAAGATTCTTATATTCATAGCCAGAATGTGACTTTCCAAGGTATGGAGCTGTTGCTACATCATCTTCCTCCTCCTTAATAACAACCTTTGAATCATTCGCGCCAACCTTTTTCTTCCCTTGCCTTTTGTCTAAAACTGGTACACCGATATCCTTCATTGATGTGCTTCCTTTGGACAATGGATAAACAGTTGTAACAGAACAATCCTTCCAATGGTCTGATGAAACACCAACGCCCTCTTCGCTTCTCGGCCATGACGTGGTGATAAATCCTTCTTGTATCGCAGCCATACTATCAGCTTCCAAGGATTGAGATGCTTTGCCATGGTCATACTGAGATACCTGGTTCCGTTTCATCTCATAAGGAGAGAAGATATCTTCCACAACCGCATTATTACTTTTAGTAACCTTTTCATGACTCGATGGCTTTGAGCTCCTTCTTACACTTGGATCAATACTGTACACCTCAGAGTCAGCATGGTTCCAAGGAGGTAAATCAAGCTCAGTATCTACTAAACTTTCAGAAAAAGTGAACCTATCCTCATAGAATGAGTTATTAGCACCAGAGGGACTTTGTGTCTGAACAGAAACATCATTCATATGATGATGATGACTCTCAGTGGCAGCTGCTCCACATTGTATCTCTTTGACAACCAATTCATCAGAGACTTGGCTTTTGTCTCGGCCTTGCTTCTTATCAAAGACCTTGCTCACACCATTCGAGCTAGAGTTATTATTGGAAAGCTCACTAATCAAAGCAGCTTCAGCTCTCATGAAACGATTCTTCCGCAGAAACTCCAAAATCGAGTCTATAGAGGAGGAGCTAGCTTCCTCCATTCTCACAAATCCTGAAACATTTAATTTTTTTCCCAATCCAATCAAATAAGCAACTTAGTGAGTTGTTTAAAATCATTGAAAAAACAAAACTTGCAGCATAGAGAAGTGAGGAGAGACGAAACCCTAACAATAACAAAAAAAAGGAAGCATTTTGACGAGAAATTATCTCAATCCCAGAAACCAAGCCAAAAGGATTCGAATTCGAACAAACATTCACTTACAGATCCAATGAAAAGCAGAGCAGCTTCAAAGACTTTCACTTTTTGTTTTTGTCTGCAAATCTGATAAAGCTTCTGTCTTCGTCTTCGTGTTAGTTTGTTTCCTTATTCTTCAATCACGGCGCTTCCCTCCTCCCTCCTCCTTGGACATCCCATTATCAACGCCAGCCATTTTTTTCTTTTTTTGTTTTATTAAATTTTTATTTACTGTATGTATATATTTGCTTTGGATCCATTAAATGAAAATCATTAGTTTTGGTGGGAAAAGAAAAGCACGAAAAGACACATTTACCTATTACTTAACCCTGTCCCTAAGCTTTTACTACACCAGCATTAAATTTACTTTTTAATTTTAATTATTTTACTCAGCAAAACCATTGTATTATTTTTACCTAAGAAAATTTACATATACATAACTGAATGATTAATTAGTAAAGAGAACAAAAAAATCAGTACACCACGTGCATTTTATCTTCCTCAGATTATTTTTGCCGTACCCGTTATGATGACAGTGTAAAATAGTAACGAGAAAAAATAAAACAAAAAACAACTTTGGGCCCAATAAATAGTAACGAGAAAAAATTATGAAAATAATAACATAATTAGTAGTATTAAACCACTAATCCAGCCCAAGTACAATATTAACATATAGGTCAACTGATGCCTGTCTCTGGGCCTTATAAATAGACCGATTTTTGACCCAACTTTGGGCCCAATAAACAGGCTCATTAACGAGCCATTGAATAAATTATTGGTTTTATTTTTTTTTACCGGTAACGAAAATGTCGAACACACCAGAGAACGGCGACGGAGAATCGATCACCACAGGCTTGTTCCCCCTTTTCCCTACTCCGTCAAACTCCGTCTCAACTATCTCAACTGCTCCTCAATGGCTTCGCAACGCCAGCTTCACGACGGATCTCTCCGTAATCGACGCCGCAGCTTCTACAGCTCCTCCTTCCCTATCCGACGCCGAGGCTAGCGAAGAAGACGAAGAAAGAGATGCTTATAGAAACAACACTGAATCCGTACATCCTAGGGTTTACAATTTGATCGAAGAAGAAGAAGAAGGATCCGAGGAGTCTGATGAGGACAAGGTAAAGAAGAAAAAGAGGGATAAAAAGAAGAAACTGAAGATTAATGATTCTGATGAATACTATACGAAGCCTGTCAAGGATTATTACTTGGACACGCGTCCTGATCCTGATAATCTTGCTTATGGTTCCATTTACAGGTGCATTTTTAGCTCTACATGTATAGTGTGATTGTATAGTATTTTTTTTTAAGTGTGTGTGTGCTGTATTTCAGGATGAATGTTCCTCGTTATAAGCTTGATAGCTCTCAGAGAGGTTCTGAGTTAGGTTCTATGAAGCTTTATTTAAGGAATAGGCGTGGCTCTATGCTTGATGCAGAGATTGATGTTAGTTCTTTAGACGGGAAAGCAAAGTCTGATAACAGATACTGGTATGCAAAGCATGCAGCCATGGAGCGGAACAAGAATTTCAAGCGGATTCGTTTGTCTGCTTCTAGAGAGGCTGTTGATTCGTCTTTTGATCGTTTTATTCCACTGGAGGAAGAAGGTGAAACAGTTCAAGAAAGTGAAGAGGAAGATGTTTTATCTGAAGTGGGAATATCGTGGGAGGATGAGGTGTTGAATAAGACCCGAGAGTTTAATAGACAGACAAGGGAACGTCCTCATGATGAAAAGGCGTGGCTGGCGTTTGCTGAGTTTCAAGATAAGGTTTCAAGTATGCAGTCTCAGAAGGGAGTTCGCTTGCAGACTTTGGAGAAGAAGATTAGTATACTTGAGAAGGCTGTTGAATTGAATCCAGATAGTGAAGAAGTGTTGCTTGCGCTTCTCAGGGCGTACCGAAGCAGAGACAGCGCAGATGTACTGATCAGTAGGTGGGAAAAGGCACTAATGCAGAACTCCTCAAGCTACAAGTTGTGGAGGGAGTTTCTACGTGTTGTTCAAGGGGAGTTCTCCAGATTTAAAGTATCAGAAGTGAGGAAGATGTATTCTTACGCAATTCAGGCACTCTTTTCTGCTTGCAGCCAGCGACATAGGCAGGTTCTTATTTTATGGTTGATGAATGACTTAAATACTTGTTTGCATACTGTCGCAAGTTATGTGAAGTCTATCTGTTCTTTCTTCGAACTTAGTTTTTTCTAGTGTTCCCGCTAGCTTCAGTCGTTGATATTATTGATGATCTTCTTCGTAGCAGTTCGACATAGTAAGGTCTGATTTTTTTTTTTTTTGGTTGGGTTATGCAGATGGATGCAACATCTGAACCATTGGATTCTTCTCTTATCCAGCAGGAACTCGTTCTAGTCGATATGCTAGTTAGCCTCTGCAGGTTTGAATGGCAGGCTGGATACCAAGAGCTGGCCACAGCTTTATTTCAAGCTGAAATGGAATATAGCATCTTTTCTCCATCTTTGTTGCTAAGTGAACAGAGTAAATTAAGATTGTTTGAGCACTTTTGGAGCAGTAATGGTGCTAGAGTTGGAGAAGAAGGAGCTTTTGGATGGTCGTTGTGGTTGGAGAAAGAGGAGGAACACAGGCAGAAAATGTTAAAAGAGGAATCTTCTGTTGACAATGACGTAGGCGGTTGGACAGGTTGGACAGAGAAATTGTCAGATAAGAAAGAAGACAATAATTTTGCTTCAGCTAACACTGGAGAAGGTGATGTTAACGGGGAAGGCCTGGACGAAGAAATGGAAGACGAGAATGGCATACCTGAAGATGACACTGAAGCTATGTTAAAGCTATTAGGCATTGATGTCAATGCTGCGGCCAGTGACGAGGTTAAAGATGCTTCAACATGGGTCAAATGGTTTGAAGAAGAGGTTTCTCGAGATCAAAATCAATGGATGCCTACTCGGAAAGCCGGTAGCTATCTCTACCTTTACCATTATTAACTTGCAATCTTATCTAACAATTTCGCAACGTGCATGTTGTTATTAACCATCATGCATCATCCTTTAATAGGTGAATTCTCAAGTGTTGATGAAATGGGCGAGAGAGAAGATGAAGAGCAACTCTCAAGCCTTGTACTATATGAAGATATAAATGGATATTTATTTTCATTACGTTCAAAGGAGGCTCGCTTATCTCTGGTATATCAGTTCGTTGATTTCTTCGGTGCACATATCTCCCCATGGACTTCAAGCAACAGTTTGTGGTGGACTGAGAAATTAAATAGTCTTGAAACATTGCCAGATTCTATGCTAGAAAATTTGAGAAATGTTCATGAGTCTTTGTCGAAATCAGATGGTGCCAACGATTTCAGCTTGGGATCTCTTTTAGGTGGCAGCAATGACATATCTATGCGGACCGAGATGATGAAGTTTCTCCGCAATGCCATCTTGCTTTGTCTGAATGTTTTTCCACGAAATTACATTTTGGAAGAAGCTGTGCTTGTTGCAGAAGAGCTATTTGTAACGAACATGAAAACATGCGAAGTCGCTACTACCCCATGCCAAGCTTTGGCCAAACGTCTCCTTAAAAGTGACCGGCAGGTAAGCTCCATCCAATATGTAGGTGTGGTCTACTCTTCTGTTCAGTTTACCTAAACTGATTTCTTCTCCATAACAGGATCTACTACTTTGTGGAGTTTATGCCCAACGAGAAGCTGCTTCTGGAAATATGAAACATGCAAGACGAATCTTTGACATGGCACTGACTTCTATATGTGGCCTCCCTAAGGTTAGATTTCCGTAATCTTGTGAGCATATGAAACTACACACTAGGTTAACATGCTACCACCTACGTTTTTAACTTCAACGGAACCTAGTTGTGTGTTTGTTACTGATTCAAATTTATGCTTTGTCCCTCTGAAAAACTGGTGCCTTTCTACTTAAGCTTGCACATGCTATATTTTATTTAGGACAGATCATAGTAGCCTATATTTGTTAAAGATCATTTGCTTCTGGGTAACGTACATGGAAGTATGGTCTAATGGATATAGCCAGATTATCTTATTTTAATTTATTTTTGGTGCATTTGTAAGGAGATACATGAGCCCAATTTCTGCAGTTGATTTCATTCTATTTAAAATACCATGCTAAGTAGTTTATTTCCCCTTTGATTGCAGGAACTACAGGATAACGCTCCATTGCTATATTTATGGTATGCCGAATCAGAAATAGCCAATAGTAGTGGCAGCGGTCTGGAAACAGAATCGTCATCTCGTGCTTTGCACATTCTGTGCTATCTGGGAAGTGGTCTAGCTTATGTTCCTTATAGTTCCCAGCCTTCAAGCATGCAAATTCTTAGAGCACGGCAGGGGTTCAGAGAGAAGCTTAAGACGATACAATCAATATGGTCCCATGGTGTCACAGATGATCAGTCAGCAGCGCTTGTTTGTTCGGCAGCTCTATTTGAGGAGTTAACAAATGACCTTTCTGGTGCTGTTGAGATCTTGGAGCACATGTTCAGTTCTGTTCTTCCAGGTTATTTCCATGGACTCTTTTCGTAATGATTTCCATGTTAGTATGCATGACTGACTGGATTAGAAATGTTTTCGTTATTCAAATAAATTTCGATTATAGACAAGGATCATGCATTTGTATATCCCATCATAAGACTTTGTTGGGTTATTGTGGATTTCCAGGAAGAAGAAGTCAAAGTCATCAACTTGAAAACTTGTTCAATTATTACGTGAGAATGCTTCAGAGACATCAGGACGACCTAACTTTGTCAAAACTGTGGAAGCCCATATCACAGGGAATGCAACTGTATCCTCTAAGTCCTGAGCTTTATCGAGCTATGATAGACATCTGTAATCACCGTATGACATCCCATAGATTGAGAATGATGTTTGATGACTACTCCCGCAAGTAAGCATCTTCACAAACTTTTTATAACTCCATCTCACGTAATTTGCAATGGTTAGCCAAAGTTTTAATATCAATGCTAAAGTAGTTTAATATGTCAAATCATGCAGAAACCCATCCGTAGTTGTTTGGCTATTTGCGCTTTCTTATGAATTGAGTAGAGGAGGATCCCTACACAGAATCCGTGGATTGTTTGAGAGGGCATTGGCACAAGATACATTAAACAACTCGGTGATTTTATGGCGTTGCTACATTGCATATGAAATCGACATTGCACACAATCCATCAGCAGCTAGAAGGGTTTACTTCCGTGCTATAAATGCTTGCCCATGGTAAAGACTTGGTGCATATAATCCAGATTTCTCTAATTATTATTATTATCAAGAGACCGTTCCTAACATAAGGGCGTGGCAGGTCGAAGAAACTATGGCTGGATGGGTTTGGGAAGCTGAGCTCAGTCCTGACGGCGAAAGAGATGTCAGATCTACAAGAAGTGATGCGGGACAAGGAACTTAACATTAGGACAGACATCTACGAGATTCTTCTTTTGCAGGGTTAAGACTTGTGGTCATAAGAAATTTTCTTAGTTTTACGTGGGATGTGTCTATGTGGATTCTCTCTTTTGATCTATTGAAAAGAATTTGTATCTTCATTCAACGTCCCTTTTGTTCTTATTGACTCTCTGATCGAGTTCAAGCTCTTGTACGGTCCTATTATGAGATTGTGTCTCTATCGAGAAAGATTATATAGATCTAGTAGAATAACTTGGATCATATATTAGTGACATATATAATAAACTGATGCACGTATACGTGTGGGGTGGAAATAGAGAACCATTTACTACTTGATATTTTTAGTTTGGGTAGTTTCGAAGTCGACTGGGATAGTAAAATTAAGAACCGGAAATATCTGAAAAAACAGTTATCAGTTGATTTTGGTTATTGTTCGGTTGGTTCGAACAATTTGAATTATATATAATATAGTTTGAATAAAATATCAAATAATTAAAATAATATAGATAAAAATCTTGGATATGTCGAATTACTTACTTGTAAGTAATCTGAATATTTTATAATAATTTAAATTTTTATTAATTTTTATGATATTTTTAATAAATTTTTAGATTATATATATATATTTAAGATTTTTATATATTTGCGTATTTTTTTGGTTTTGACTTTGATTTTTAATTATTTCAGATATAAAAGTATATGAATTATTTGGCTATCTAAAGATTTTGATTGGATTCAAGGTTCATGTATTTCATTTCGGTTCTAGTTTGGATATCTAGCTTTTATTGTTGTCCCGACCTTGTCAGATTGATGATTAATCTTCTTGCCACAACCAGAATGCAGTGTTTATGAAAAATACAATATTTGATAATAATTGTAAAAGTTAATTTTCGCGCATCGTTCTAAACATTTTAAATCCAAAATTGCTTTCCAAACGGTTGCATTGTTGGCAAATAATTTCAAAATTTGTTCAGAAAGATAAAACTATTCTTCAAAATAAATATAACAAATATTCTAAATTTTGCCAAATTAAAAAGTCAACCACATTCAGGCCCAATTATGTAACTGTTGAAAAATTCACTTGGCATTTTATTATTATTTTATGCTATTTTTGAAAGAGTTTATTTGCCATATAACCAAAAAAGGTAAATCTTCTCTATTGAAAAAGAAGTACCAATTTTTATATATTACAGAATACTTATATTAGGTTCATATATTCAGTTACAATTTTTTTTTGATTATTTACATTAATTTATTTAATGTATAACATTTTAAAATAATTATAAGGATATTAGTAACAAATCTATTTTAACTGTCATTTTAAATTTTAGTATCAGTAATCAAACAATATGTTGAGAAAAAATCTAACAAAATCTTTTTTTCTTAGGATTTAAATATTGTTTTAATTAATACACTGATTAATTTCGTAATTAGAGTATAATATTATTATAAATTAATCTTAATTAAATTGCTATTATAAAAATATAATAAATTATATGCTAATTTTATAAATTTTATAAATTTATAGGTATAGCCTATATTATATTAAAATAGAAGTAATAAATGAATTACATATAAAAATTATATTAAATTGGTAAATTAATATATTTTGAGAAAAAATCATTTAAATAAATAAATAAAATATCATCTACCAATTAAGTGACTACAATATTATTTACATTTTAAAAAAATTAAACATTCGTAAATTATGTAATAAATTTTACACAAAATAAATTTGTTAATTTTTTTTCATATTTAGAACAATATATAATCTATTTATTTATTTTTAAAATGACAGAAACATATTATATAAAAATGATTATATATTAAATATAATATAAAATTATATTTAAAAAAAGTTATCTCTTACGGATGTGCGGATCAAAATCTTGTTAGATTTATAGAGAGATATTAAAGAGAGATAATAAGATAAATTAAGAGAAAGAATGTATGTAACTTTGGTTAGTTAGTGAATTTGTATTTTTTTATAGCTATTAAACCTAATATCTTTTTTTTGAAATACTAATCATTGTACCCATACGTCATTCATCTCCTTAGAGCATGCCCATTAGAGGTTTTAAGGGAGGATTCACACGTTTTTCAAGAAAAACAGTGATGAATCCGGTGCGCGTGGGTTCGTCGTGGTGAACCGGTTCATCACGAGTTTGCCACATGTCGGGCTGAGATTCGCCAAATTTTTTTTCTTTTTCGAAAAAGTAGAAAAAAAAAATAATAATTTTTTTTTCTATAAACTTCTCTCCATCAGGTTCATTGATGGGAATGCTCTTATTTTTTCTGTGGTCAAAAATTGTAAAAGCGGCTATACTTTGCAACTAAAATACCTCTAACGTTAAAAGATGTGCCAAATAAAAAATCTCAAATCACATTCACCCGAATCATACAAGTTATCCCAGAGTAGACCCGTACTTTATCTTTCTTTTTATATCAAAATAGAGTTTCTCATCTCTTCTTTGTCCACGAAAGCTAAAAGTTAAAAAAAGAAAACGTCTAATGGCTCCGGTGAAGCTTTCGTGTGATTTGGAGGAAGAGATACTTTTTCAGCTTCCACCTCTATGGCTCTATCTCCTGTTCGGTTCAGTACCGTATATCAACACTGGAACTCTGTTTTACGCGACAAGAGTTTCGCAAACAAACACTTGCATGGCTTCTTACTCTATCAATCGATCTCCACAGAGAAGGTATTGATCCAACGATAGATGTACATCACTTCTTGCGATGGGTTCTTGTTTCCCACTTTTGGAAGCAAGGTGTTGCGATTTTGGAACCTGTGGTTGAGACCCGTTACAAAAACCTCCACTTCTGCGGTGTTGTGTAGAATACGACAGCAACGTACTCGAAAAACGTTACAAGATCTTAGGATATGTTAACTATCTACGTAACGTAAGCGACACGTACCAAGTGAGTTACAAAAGAGTTGCTGTTTACGAGTGTGCGTTGAAGTTTCTTGATGCCCCTTTAAAGAACTAGCCCACCATGATCCTTTGTCCTTAAACGGGGTTCACTATTGGGTTACTAGTAACCCCGACACTAAGCTTTGACTTCTCTAGTGAGACATTCAAAACCTTTTGTCTCCTTCCATGTCAGAAGAACCATTCTCTCGACCAATTTGTCCTTGAGGTTATAAAAGAGACGGCTTTTCTTTGTTGAAGCAATGCTATGTAACAGGGGAGATTAGTGTTTGGGTGACTAAGAAGAAGACTGATGCAGAGGAAGTGGTGTGTGGATAAACTTGACTTTGCCAACAAGTAACTTACCGAAGTTGATTAATAAGTTTTGTGGAATTAGTTACTTCATCTTTGACAAGACTCAAATCATGTGTTGTGGCGACGAAGAGACCGAAGCTGCTTGCATCTATATTGCGAGGGAATATATGTGTAAGAAGATACAAATTGGTTTTGAAATTATTCGGTTTTCTCACTGTGTCTTATCTTCCATATTTTACACCGGTTCCTTTAGAATTCAGATCATTACCAGTTAAAGCTTGGCTATTATTATTTTTTATTAAAAATCTTAATTCAACTTTGAGCTGCTCACTGTTGTTGGAGCAGAGAGTACTATGAAAGGTGATCTGTTTGTATTTCTCGTATGCTGTCTCTTTGTGGATTGATCTGGAAATATATGATGGTAGGACTGGGCATTTTATCCGTTAAATTTGATTCGATTCGATCCGAAAATTCCGAATATCCGTAAACTTTCGAATCAAAACAAATACTAAAAATCAATATCTTTAAAATCGAAGCAAATCACAAATATTAAAATTTTAGAAAGCGGATATCCGATCTGATCCGGAAATATATAAATATATGTATATACTGATTATATTTAAATTTTAAATGTATAAAATTATATAATTATTATTATAACACATGATTTTGAACAACTCTATTCACATTATTACTTATATAAATGTAATACATAAAAAAAAAACAAATTATGACAATTATATCTTCTGTTCTTAACTTTTATGTTATTATAATTGCAACTTAAACTTCAAAATTTACAAAATATGTAAATTCACTAGTTCTTTTAATTTTTATTTTATGTATTATGCAAAAAAAGTATTTTTGCAAAGCAAATTTATATCAAAATTTAAGATTATTTGTATTAATCAAAATGGATTAGATATCCGTAAATATTTGTAAATATCTGCAAATATCAATTTATTTTTCGGTTATCCGTTTTTCCGATTATCCGTATATTTCGAAGCAAGCAAATACTGAAATTGATATCCGTAACATTCGAAGCAAATTACAAATACCTTGAAAAATCTGGATATTCGATCTGCGTCCACCCCGATATGATAGTACACATGAACCGGTTCTTGAATGTTATACAAGATTTTAAGGTTGAATTAAATACTAAACTTATTATGTGTGAGTATTTTCACAATCCAAATAAATTACAGCAAATATATACAAGCTATGGAAAAAAAATCTGAAGGAGACTTGGGTTTAGACACACACGAGATATATATACAGAACATAAGACAGACTAGTGCATCTAAGGACTAGTGACACAAATGTTCTTGAGCTTCTAATTTAGACACACGGTTCCTTCTTGTTCAGGAGGTCTACAAAAACGAACAAAGACTCAAGGGCAACACATTATTCACATATTACCTACAGTAATACGTCACTTTATCACTTCTTGGGTTCTCATTGTGAAGCAAACATAAGCTGCTTTAAACCTATTCACAATGTATAGGTAAAACTCATTTAAACTTGGACAAGTTCCAGCGTGGAAGATGTATCAATAACACCTAAAACATGGTGTGTGGTAGAAGGTCGAAGACCAATGGCGAATTTGTTAAGCTGAAGCTGCACTGATCATCTATATGTATAAGTTTGCTGCAAGGATAAAGTTATGTTATTTCTGATTATTGAGAATTTACAAAATGTAAAAAGAGGAGAGAGAAACGATCGGAAGTATTTGAGATGCGTGAGAAAAAAGTAAGATCAGTCTACTTGATCGGAAGGCAAGGGATATTTCTTTTTGGAAGAGAGTGAGATCAGAATCTTAGATTTAC